GACCACAGTCACCTGCCACCATGCCTGGATAATTTTTTGTATTTTTAGGAGAGACGGAGTTTCATCAAGGATGGTCTCGTTCTCCTGACCTCGTGATCCGCCCGCCTCGGCCTCGCAAAGTGCTGGGATTACAGGCGTGAGCCACAGTGCCTGGCCACCCAGCTGTATTTTTAAAGTATTAATTGAGCTTCAGACTCTGTTTGAAATAGATACAAATAATATATTAAATTAATTAATTCATTCATTCATTCACCAAATATGTATCGCGTTCCTGCTTTCTACAAGGCCAAGAGTCAAGTCCTGGGGATACCAGAAGACAAGGCAGATTCAGGAGGGGGCTCCAACCTGCAAAGCTGATGGCCCAGTTTCATCTCCTCCCCATCTGCTTCAGCTCAGTGGCAGCTCCCTTCCCAGGTAGGATATCGAGGGGTACCATGTTGACTTCTTAGTTTCAGGCAAAGGCCTTTTCCCAGACCCTCCTTCCCCTCTAGGGAACAGAAGAGTCAGGGAGGTGCTAAGAAACAGAAGTGAAACTTCATTAGATGATCTGGTGAATCTGAATGCATTGTCATCTTCAGAGCTGGGGGTGAAAGGGCGTGGGCTTGGCTACCACTTCTGAGAGCAGCACATGGGCTCTGCACAGGGGACAGGTGCTGGGGCTATGCCCAAGCTGGTACCAAGACCAGCAAGTATCCCTTGCATGTCCATCTTCCCCTTTCTCACAGGAAGGGCAGGTGGATGGGAACTCAGGCTGTTTTAACTTAGCTGTTTCCCTAGCAGCAAACTCAGCAGGTGTCAGCAACTATTTGTTGAATGAACAGATGAACCTCACTTGGGTTGCAAGCCCAGCTGGGCAGTTTAGCAGCTGTGTGGCCCTGAGAAAACTACTTTCTTCTCTGAGTTTTCCCTTTGTCATCCATCAAGAGAGGACGGTGAAACCTACTAGTGTTTATTCAGTATTTCAATCTTGTAAAAAAAAAAAAAGCACTTTTTTAAATGTAAAATAAACATAGATAAAGAAAATCACCAAGACAAATGTATGGTTTAAAGAGTTATAAAGCAAATATCTTTGTAACCACTGCCCAATTTAAGATATAAAACTTTGCAAGCACCCTCCCCAAGTTTCCCTTCCCAATCTTAGCCCCCTTACTCCCTCCACCATGAACTAGTAACATGACTTTTACAGTAATCACTTTCTGGCAATACTTTGTTTTATCACCTAAGTGTGTATTTCTAGATACTATTGCTTAGACTTGCCCACAAAGAAAAAGATACATCCTTGTAGTCCCAGCTACTCAGGAGGCTGAGATAGGAGAATCACCTGAGCCTAGAGAGGTTGAGGCTGCAGTGAGCCGTGATTGTGCCACTGCACTCCAGCAGAGGCAACAGGGTGAGATCCTGTCTCAAAAAAGAGATTTTTTTTTCTTTTGAGATGGAGTCTCGCTCTGTTGCCCAGGCTGCAGTGCAGAGGTGTGAGCTCGGCTCAGTGCAAGCCCTGCCTCCTGGGTTCATGCCATTCTCCTGCCTCAGCCTCCCAAGTAGCTGGGACTACAGGCACCTGCCACCACACCCAGCTAATTTTTTGTAGTTTTACTAGAGGCGGGGTTTCACCGTGTTAGCCAGGATGGTCTCAATCTCCTGACCTCGTGATCCGCCCACCTCAGCCTCCCAAAGTGCTGGGATTACAGGCAGGGAGCCACCGCGCCTGGTCAAGAGATATATCTTTAAAGCCTCTTTTATTTATTTATTATTTATTTCACTTTTTTTTTCTTTTTAAAGAAATGGAGTCTCACTTTGTCACCCAGGCTGAAGTGCAGGGATGCCATCACAGATCATTGTAGCCTTGGACTCCTGAACTCAGGTGATCCTCATGCCCCAGCCTCCTCGGTAGCTGGGACTACAGGTGCATGCCATCATTCATGCCTTGCTTAAGGTCTCTTTTAATCTATAAGTTTCCCCCTACCCTTTCTTTTCCTTATCAGTTATCTGTTTAGCCAGTAGAGTTTCCCACAATCTGCATTTTGCTGACTGCATTGTCACCATGCAGGTCTATGCGTTCCTCTGTCCTCTGTGCTTCCTGCAACTTGGCACCTGGACTCAGAGGCTTGATCAGACTTGGGGCCAGTCCCTTTGGCCACATTCTCAGTAGGCTTGTGTTTCATCCGGAAGCACATTATGTTGGATCATCCTCCTTTTATGTTGGCAACTGTTGATGCTCGTCATGGGTAAGTCTGTTAATTCATCGGGGATTGCAAAGTGGTAGCATTCCAGTCCTCTTTTCTTTTTCATGTATGAGGAGGAATACTTTTAGAAAGTGACACTCCCCCTCACTTACTCTGTTACTCAGTGGTACAATTCATATAGGAAAGGCAGAATAAATGCTTGATTCTATTTACCAATGTTCAAGAGAATTAATTAGTTCTTTGTCATTATTTGAAAGAGACCAATAAGGTTTCTTTTCAATATCATTATAAGCTCTAGGATTTAACCATATTTGATGGATTACAATCAGTTATAAGAATTATTCTTTTTTGGCTGGGTGCAGTGGCTCTTGCCTGTACTCCTAGTACTTAGGGAGGCTGAAGCAGGAGGCTCACTTGAACCCAGGAGTTCAAGATCAGCCTGGACAACACAGTGAAACCTCGTCTCTGCAAAAAATACAAAAATTAGCTGGGCACAGTGGTGTGTGCCTATAGTCTCAGCTACTCAGGAGGCTGAGGTGGGAGGATTGCTTGAGCCCAGGAGGTTGAGATTGCAATGAGCTGTGATGGTACCATTGAGCCTGGGTGAGAGAGCGAGACCCTGTCTCAAAACAACAACGTGACGCTGGGGCATGAGGATCACTTGAGTTCAGGAGTTCAAGGCTACAGTGATCTGTGATGGCACCCCTGCACTCCAGCCTGGGTGACAAAGTGAGACTACATTTCTTTAAAAAAAAGAAAAAGTGAAATAAATAAGAGAGAGCGAGACCCTGTCTCAAAACAACAACAACAGAGAGAACAAAGAGTTGTTCTTTTCTTATTGACTTTTTTTTTTTTTTTTTTTTTTTTTTTTAGAGTCTGGCTCTGTTACCCAGGCTGGCTAGAGTGCAGTGGCACCGTCTTGATTTACTGCAGCCTCCACCTCCCGGGTTCAAGCGATCCTCATGCCCCAGTCTCCCGAGTAGCTGGGATTACAGGCACACGCCACAATGCCCAGCCAACTTTGGTATTTTTAATATAGACGGGGTTTCACCATGTTGGCCAAGCTAGTCTCAAACTCCTGGTCTCAAGTTATCTGCCTGCCTTGGCCTCCCAAAGTGCTGGGATTACAGCCATGAGTCACCACACCCCGCCAAGAATTCTTTTTTTAAAAAAGTTTTTTAAAAATTTATTTAAGCCACAGTTTCTATAAGAATTACTCTTTTTCAGACCCAAATGGTCCCATTCTTTCCAGTGAAAGCCTCTTTAGGTTGGCTCTTGAGTCCTTTCGCTATAACCCTAGTCGTCTCTGAGACGGTCATCTCTGATGCCATGCTTTCTGTATGACAGGATGTACCAAATTCATCTGCATTCATAATGTTCTGCTCCAGACCTGGAATCAGCTTTTTCTCCAGGAAGTCCTTTTATTTTTATATATTTTTTGAGATGGAGTCTCACTCTGTCACCCAAGCTGGAGTGCAGTGGTGCCATTATGGCTCACTGCAGTCTTGACCTCCTGGGCTCAACTGATCTTCCCACCTCAGCCTCCTGAGTAGCTGGGACTATAGGCATGCACCAATATGCCCAGCTAATTTTTGTATTTTCTATAGAGAGGGGGTTTCTCCATGTTGCCCAGACTGGTCTTGAACTCCTAGGCTCAAGCAATCCACCTGCCTTGGCCTCCTAAAGTGCTGGGATTACAGGGGTGAGCCACTGTGCCTGGTCCCTTTTTATTTTTAAATGGAAAATAGGGTTTCATGACCACTGTCTGGATGCTAGGGATGCAAATGGCTACTGATGTGGTTATTAGGAAATGTATTTTATCACACACACACCTTTCAGCCAGAAACCAGGAGGATAGCACCCTGAGTTCATACTAATACATCCAATTCACACTTAGGTTTTTCACTTAATCTTTTCTATATTACCTCTCTGCTTTCTTCCATATTGAGAATCAGACCCTCAATAATATAGGAGATGATAGAATTAAAACAATCTGTAATTACTTATTTTCTTTATCCCACATTACACACGCAATGGTCTCAAGATGACAGCAGTAATAGCATCAATAAGATAATTACTGGAAACAGTTTAAAACATTTTTTTTTTGAATGTGCTCTTCCCATTATTCCTATTTCAAAAGTGGTCTTGTAGGGCAGTGGTCCTCAACCTTTTTGGCATCAAGGACCAGTTTTGTGGAAGACAGTTTTTCCACGGATTGGGGTAGGGGATGGTTTCGGGATGATTCAAGTGCATTGCATTTATTATGCTCTTTACTTCTATTATTATTACATTGTAATAGATAATGAAATAATTATACAACTCTCATAATGTAGAATCAGTGGGAGCCCTCGCTTGTTTTCTTGTAACTAGATGGTTCCATCTGGGGATGATGGGAGACAGTGATAGATCATCAGGCATTAGATTCTCACAAGGAGCCTACAACCTAGATCCCTTGCATGCATGGTTCACAATAGGGTTCATACTCCTGTGAGAATCTAATTTGCTGCCACTGATTTGATGAGATGTGCAGCTCAGGTGGTAATGAGAAATGGGGATTAGCTGTAAATACAGATGAAGCTTCGCTTGCTTGCCTGCTGCTCAGCTCCTGCTGTGCAGCGTGGTTCCTAACAGGCCACAGACCAGTACCAGTCCATGGCCAGGGGGTTGGGGACCGCTGTTGTAGGAGGTGGAGCAAGATGGCTGAATAGAAGGCTCCATCTCCCCATCCCCCACTGGAACATAAAATTTAACAACTATCTATACACAAAAAAGCACCTTCATCATAAGAACCAAAAAGTGGGCGAGCACTCACAGTACCTGGTTTTAACTTCATACCGGTGAAAGAGGCAAAGAAGAGGGTAGGGAAGACAGTCTTGAGTTGCTGATGCCACCTGTCCCCATGCCATGGCAGTGGCTGTGTGGCGTGGAGAGAGAATCTCTGTGCTTGGAAGAGGGAGAGCGCAGCCATTGTGAGACATTGCACTGAATTTGATGCTGCTTTGTCACAATGAAAGTAAAACCGAACTGAATTCAGCTGACGGCTGATGATGGAGAGAATATTTAGACCAGCCCTAGCCAGAGGAGAATTGCCCAAGGGAGTTGCCCAACTCAGTGTATGGAACTTGAGTTTCAGCAAACCTCACCACCATGGGGGTAAAGTGCTCTGGGTTGTAAATAAACTTGAATGGCAGTCAAGGTCACAAGGACTGCAGTTCCTAGGCAAGTCCTAGTGCTGAGCTGGGCTCAGAATCAGTGGACATGGAGGGCACATGACCTACTGAGACACCAGCTGCGGCAGCTAAGGGAGTACTTGCACCACCCCTCCCCCAGCTCCAGGCAGCACAGCTTGCAACTCCAAAAGACACTTCTTCCTTCCACTTGAGTTGCGGAGATGGAAGGGTAAAGAGGACTTTGTCTTGCTTCTTGGAGGCCGGCTCAGCCACAGTAGGATAGGGTACCAGTTAGGGTAATGAGGTCCCCTTTCCAGGGCCTATCTCTGAGATGATATTTCTAGACACACCCTAGGCTAGAAGGGAGCCTACTGCTTTGAAGAGAAGGACTCAGTCCTGGCAGGATTCATTACCTGCTGATTAAAGAGTCCTGGAACCTTGAAATCCCAGCAGCGATACCTTGGTACCTATCATGGGCCTTGGGTGAGACTCTGAGACATGCTGGCTTCAGGTGAGACCCAGCACATTTCCAGCTATGGTGGCTATGGTGAGAACCACAGCGAGAACTCCTGCTTGAGTAAAGCAGAGGAAAAAGTAAAGGGGACTTTGTCTTATACCTTAGATACTAGCTCAGCCACAGTGGACTAGAGCATAAAGAGGGTTCTTGGGGTCCCTGGTTTCAGGCCTTGCCTTTTAGATGCCATTTCTGGACCTGCTTTGGGTGGGAGGGAAACCCACTGCCCTGAAGGATGAGTCCCAGGCCTGGGAGGGAAGTGTGGGAAGGATTACATCTTGTGGTTTGAGTGCCAGTTCAGCTGCAGTAGACTAGAACACCAGGTAGATTTCTAAGCTTTTTGACTCCAGCCTCTCGTTCCCAGACAGCATCTCTGCACCTGCTTGGGGCCTGGGGGAACTGACTGCCTTGAAGGGAAGAACATAAGCCTGGCTGACTTTGCCACCTCCTGATTGTAGAACCCTAGGGCCTTGAGCAAATATAGGCAGTAGCCAGGTAGCGGTTATAGCAGGCCTTGGGCAAGACCTAATGCTGTACTGGCTTCAGATCTGACCCAGCACAGTCCCAGCGATGGCGACAACAGGTGTGCTTGTGTCACTCCTCCCCCATCTCTAGGCAGCTCAGCACACAGAGAGAAAGTCTCCATTTGTTTGGGAGAAAGTAAGGGAAGAGAACAAGAATCTCTGCCTAGTAATCCAGAGAATTCTTCTGGATCTTATCCAAGGTTACCAAAGTAGTACCTCTACAACTCTGCAAGAACCACAGCATTACTGGGCTTGGGGTGTCCCTTAATGCAGAAACATTTGCAGTGACCAAACACTTAGATCACAACACCCAAGTCCCTTTGAATACGTGGAAAGCCTTGTCCTTCCACAATACTTGTCCTTCACAGTCTGGGCTTGCTTGTACCTGTCCACAAGAAAGGCAAGTACAAACAAACCCAGACTGTGAAGAGTACAACAGATACCTAACTCTTAAATGCACAGTCACTGACAAACATCCACAAGCATCAAGACCATCCAGGAAAACATGGTATCACCAAACTAAATAAGGCAGTGGGGACCAATCCTGGAGAGACAGAGATATGTGACCTTTCAGACAGAATTCAAAAGAGCTATTTTGAGGAAACTCGAAGAAATGCAAGAAAAACCAGGGAAGGAATTCAGATTTCTATCAGATAAATTTAATAAACAGATTGAAATAATTAAAAAGGATCAGGCAGAAAGTCTAGAGTTGAAAAATGCAATTGACATGCTGAAGAACGCACCTGAGTCCCTTAATACCTGAATTGATCAAGCAGAAGAAAGAATTAGTGAGCTTGAAGACAGGCTATTTGAAAATGCACAGTCAGAGGAGACAAAAGAAAAAGAATAAAAAAAGAATAAGGCATATCTACAAGATCTAGAAAATAGCCTCAAAAGGGCAAATCTAAGAGTTACTCAGCTTAACGAGGAGGTAGATAAAGAGATAGGGGTAGAAAGTTTATTCAAAAGGATAATAACAGATAACTTCCCAAACCTAGAAAAAGATACCAATATCTAAGTATGATAAGGTTATAGAATACCAAGCAGATTTAACCCAAAGACTACCTCAAGGCACTTAATAATCAAACTCCCAAAGGTCAAGGATAAAGGACCCTAAAAGCAGCAAGAGAAAATAAACAAATAACAAAAAATTGGGTTCCAATATGTCTGACCACAGACTTTTCAGTGGAAACCTTACAGGACTGGAGAGCATGGCATGACATATTTAAAGTGCTGAAGAAAAATGAGCTTTTTACCCTAGAATACTATATCAGATGAAAATATCCTTCAAACATGAAAGAGAAATATTTTCCCAGACAAACAAAAGCTGAAGAATTTCATCAACACCAGGCCTGTTCTACAAGAAATGCTAAAGGAAATACTTCAATCAGAAAGTAAAGGACATTAATGAGCAATAAGAACTCATTTGAAGGTACAAGACTCACTGGTAATAGTAAATACACAGAAACCCAGAATGTCATAACACTATAACTGTAGTGTGTTATACTGCTATTAAGTAGAAAGACTGAGAGATGAACCAGTAAAAATAATGACTACAAAAGCTTTTCAAGACATAGGCAGTACAGTAAGACATAAATTGAAACAAAAAGTTGAAAGCAGGGGAATGAAGTGTAGAGTCTTTATTAGTTTTCTTTTTGCTTATTAGTTTATGCAAGCACTATGAAATTGCTATCAGCTTAAAGTGATGGGTTATAAGATAGTATTTGCAAGCCTCTTGGTAACCTCAAATCAAAAGCATACAATGGATACACAAAAAATAAAAAGCAAGAAATTAAATCATACCACCAGAAGAAAACACCTTCACTAAAAGGAAGACAGAAAAAAAAGGAAAGAAGGAAGAGAAGACCACAGAACAAAAATAACAAAATAGCAGAAGTAAGTCCTTACTTATCAATAACATGAAATATAAATGGACTAAAATCTCTAATCAAAAGACGTAGAGTGGCTGAATGAATTAAAAAAATAAGACCCAATGATCTGTTGCCTACAAGAAACATACATCACACACAGACTGAAAATAAAGGGATAGAAAATAATATTCCATGCCTCTTAAACCAAAAAAGGAGCAGGAGTCACTATACTTATATCAGACAAAATAGATTTCAAGACAAAAACTATAAGAAGAGACAAATAAGGTCACCATATAATGATAAATGAGTTAATGCAGTAAGAGGATATAACAATTGTAAATATATATGTACCCAACATTGGAGCACCCAGATATATAAACCAAATACTATTTGAGCGAAAGAGAGAGATAGACTCCAATACAATAATAGCTGGAGACTTCAACATCCCACTTTTAGCATTGGACAGATCTTCCAGACAGAAAAATCAACAAAAAAACATTGAACTTAATCTGTACTGTAGACCAAATGGACTTAATAGATATTTACAGAACATTTCATCCAGTGGCTGCAGAATATGTATTCTTTTCCTCAGCACATGGATCATTCTTGATGATATACCATATGTTAGATCACAAAACAAATCTTAAAACCTTCAAAAAAGTTGAAAAATGTATCAAGCATCTTTTTGACCACAATGAACTAAAACTAGAAATCAATAACAAGAGAAATTTTGGAAACTATACAAACACATGGAAATTAAACAATATGCTCCTGAATGACCAGTGGGTCAATGATGAAATTAAGGAGGAAATAAAAAAATTTCTCAAAACAAATGATAATGGAAACATAAAATACTAAAACCTATGGGACACAGCGAAAGCAGTACTAAGAGAGAAATTTATAGTTATAAGCACCTACATCAAAAAAGAAGAAAAACTTCAAATAAACAATTTAATGATACATCTTAAAGAACTGGAAAAGCAAAAGCAAACCAAACCTAAAATTAGTAGAAGACAAGAAATAATAACAATCAGAACAGAAATAAAGGAAATTGAAACAAACAAAAAACAATTCAAAAGATAAACAAGGTTTTTTTGAAAGATAAAATTGACAAACCTTTAGACAGACAATTGAAGAATAAAAGGGAGAAGACAAAAAAATAAAATCAGAGATGAGAAAGACGTTACAACTGATACTGCAGAAATTCAAAGGATAGCCCCAGCCCCGGACCCTGCAGCCGCTGAGATGTTGATGCCTAAGAAGAACCGGATTGCCATTTACGAACTCCTTTTTAAGGAGGGAGTCATGGTGGCCAAGAAGGATGTCCACATGCCTAAGCACCCGGAGCTGGCAGACAAGAATGTGCCCAACCTTCATGTCATGAAGGCCATGCAGTCTCTCAAGTCCCGAGGCTACGTGAAGGAACAGTTTGCCTGGAGACATTTCTACTGGTACCTTACCAATGAGGGTATCCAGTATCTCCGTGATTACCTTCATCTGCCCCCGGAGATTGTGCCTGCCACCCTACGCCGTAGCCGTCCAGAGACTGGCAGGCCTCAGCCTAAAGGTCTGGAGGGTGAGCGACCTGCGAGACTCACAAGAGGGGAAGCTGACAGAGATACCTACAGACAGAGTGCTGTACCACCTGGTGCTGACAAGAAAGCTGAGGCTGGGGCTGGGTCAGCAACCGAATTCCAGTTTAGAGGTGGATTTGGTCGTGGACGTGGTCAGCCACCTCAGTAAAATTGAAGAGGATTATTTTGCATTGAATAAACTTACAACTAAAAAACCTTAAAAAAACAAAACAAAACAAAACAAAAAAAAAGAAATTCAAAGGATAGTTAATGGCTAGTATGAGCAAATATATGCTAATAAATTGGAAAATCTAGAAGAAATGGATAAATTTCTAGATACATACAACCTACCAAGATTCAATCATGAGTATCCAAAATGTGGCCAGTTGCGGTGGTTCACGCCTGTAATCCCAGCACTTTGGGAAGCCGAGGTGGGCGGATCATGAGGTCAGGAGACTGAGAACATCCTGGCTAACGCAGTGAAATCCTGTCTCTACTAAAAATGCAAAAAATTAGCCGGGCGTGGTGGCAGGGCATCTGTAGTCCCAGCTACTTGGGAGGCTGAGGCAGGAGAATGGTGTGAACCCAGGAGG